CAAAAGTATTAAGGATCACACCTTTGGGCAGCAGTGATAACAGGAGTATCCTTGCTAAGTAAATCAATTTTGTGATGATCTTGTTTGTTAAAGCCAATTCAATGACTTCAGCTTTATTCACTTGTAGGAAGATGGCCATCAGCACATGCCTACTGATATATTTGATTTTCCTGACAATTCTGATATCTCCAGCCTGGGCAGGATGAGTGAAAACGAGAATGATGAAGAACCTTATGAAACCTTTGGTTAGTATTTTAAATCTTTATGCTAAAAACTTTAGTTTAAGCAATAACATTGAGGCTAGTTACTAATAAAAATATGGAAATGTCTTCAAATATAAAAATCAGCTGCATATGAATATAATATTCTGGGGAGTTCTTAATAATTTGAAATAATTTTTTCTCACTTCTAAGTACATCAGAACTAAGAACTCTTAAACATTACTGTAGATCTCTGCTAGTAGCATTTATTAGGACACCTATTATAGTATCTATAACAACAATATAAGATATTTCTCACTCCATACTACCAATAGAGTCATTCATTAAGGGGCTTTAATTTAGGGAGAAGAAGAGGGGTAATTTTCCCTTTTCTTAAACACATGGAGGCAAAGGATGCTTCAGGAGAGCTGCTGGGAGAGCTTCACCTATGTTCCTTGATAAAAATGTTTTAATTACTCATATAAAAAAATCTAAATGGAAAAGATCTAAATCTAAAAGAAATCACATAATTTAAAAAATGAAAATGTAATTCCCTTACCTTAAAATTTAATGTGTACGATTCAGTGGTGTTCAGTATAGTCACAAAATTGTACAACCATCATTGTAGTGATCACTTTTTAAGTTGTATAAATGTCTAATCACTGTGTCGTACAGGTGAGACTAATATGATATTGTATGTAAACTGTAACTGAAATTTTTTTTTTAAAGTGTGCAAGCATCACCATTATCTATTCTAGAACATTTTAATCACCCTGAAGAAAAACTGTGTACTCATTAGTAGTCATTCCCCATTCCTCCTTCCTCCTAGTCCCTGGCAACTATAAATCTACTTCCTGTCTATATGGATTTGCCTTTTCATGTAAATGGAATCATACACTATGTGGGCATTTATGACTGGCTGCTTTCAGTGAGCGTCGTATTTTCAGGGCTTAACTATGTTGTAGTATTATCAGTATGTTATTCCTAAAAATTTTTATAGTTCATCCATTGTTCGGATATACCTCACTTTGTTTTCCATTCGTCAGTTGATGTACATTAGAGTTGTTCACTGTTTGACATTTTTATATAATACAGTGATATAGGTTATAATTGATAAATATGTATGTATTTATTAGTGAAATGGTTTACATTTTTTATTGTTGAACTGTGAGATCAGAAACATTTGGGAAGTAGGTTGTGTAATTGATTTTGATTTTGTTAGCCATTTAAACAAAGATTGTTTTGTAAACCGTTGTAAAGTAACAAAAACTTAAACCTACCCAGGCAGACTTTTAAAGTTGCACTTTTTTTTTTAATCTTTTGTAGAGCCTCCTTTACACAGCACTGCTATATATACTGATGAAGCTGAACTCTCCAAACACTGTATATTTATCCCTTCAACTCCTCAAGGAAAAGAAGTGAGAAGAAGGTATGGTTATATTTCAAGCAGTTATTTATTCATGGTCAATGGGATTTCTGAGGAGCTCTTTAAGATAGAATCATATAAAACTGAAGTTTTTAAAAGATGTTTTGGGCCAACTTATGTTTTTCCTTAAGGGAACTGATACATCAAAACTTAATTTTTCAAAAATTGACATTATTTATAATTAATTATAGGTACAAATTTCCGTAAGTCATGGGGATATAATGTACAGCATGGTGACTGCAGTTAATAATACTGTATTGCATATTCGAAAGTTGCTAAGAGAGGTGATCTGAAGTTCTCGTCACATGAAAAAAACTTTTGTAACTGTTTGGTAAGGGATGTTAACTGGACTCATTGTGGTGATCATTTTGCAATACAAATATTGAATCATTACATTGTTCCTGAAACATGTTATATGTCAGTTATATGTCAATAAAAATAAAGTCTAATTTAATAACCAAAAATTACAATTGATACCTGATTATCATAGAAAACATTGCCTGTGAGGGTGGTTTAGCCTGAGCTAAAACAAATAGGGAAGGAATGGTTTTCTTAGCATAACATTTTAAGTGCTTTTCAGAGGTCTCTTTAATTTTCAAATTCTCTATCACAAAAGAGATGTTCTTTAGTACAAGGTGAGGGCAGGGGAGACAGGCTGGTCATTACAAATATGTTGTCTACTTCAGATGTGTTGTCCCCAAGGAGCATTGGTTTGCGTTTTGCAAATGTATATGAAGATATGGTCAGGTAAGTCATGTAAAAATGACTCCATAAAGAAAACTTGAGGACAAATTATATAATGAAGAACTGTAATAATTATAAATTACTAGCTAGAGCAGATCCTTGACTTTAGGACTTCGATTAGGTAATAGGTCATTCCCAGTTATTTGAATATATTGTGAAAGTAGCAAAACTGCATTTTTAAAACAAATATTAGGCAGAAATCTAAATTAGGAAGTCTCTGAGATTATCTGCATGAAGGAAGTTTTATGGTATTTGCAGAGACTTCAAATTTTTCTACGTTACTGAAAATAATAAAAGCCAAATATTTGGAAAAAACATGCATTTCATTTTAAACAGCAGTGAATGTAATTTTTAAAAAGGAATTTTTTTGAATAGGTAACACAGTCAGATGGTTTAAAAATATAAAGGTTTTAATAAAAGTCATCTTCTCTACCATCACCTAGCTCCTGCACCCACTTTTTCCTCTCTTCCTTTATTAATTTCTTACATGCCCTTTTCAGAATTGTTTGCACAGAAAAGTAAATCAGAATACACATTTTGACCTTTATTATATAGAAAAGATAGTATACCTTCTACCTACCTTAACATATCACTTAAAATATCTTGGAAATTTTACGTATTAGTATATGTGGACCTTTCTCATTCCTTTCGCATTGCAAATATTCCAGAGTATGGATAGTTTATTTACTCAGTTCCATGTTGACAGGCAGTTGGGTTGTCTCCAGTCTTCTGCAGTCAGTAACCTGGTGCACAGACCATTTCACACACGTGCCTATATATCTATAGAATATATTCATTGCAGGAAATCCTGAGTCAAATGAAATCTGTGTAGTTATTGCCATATTGCTACCAGAGTGATACCAGGCTTAGATTTTTGCTAAGATGATAGCACTTTTGATCTGTCTCAATCTAGTTCTAGTTTTTTTTCTTGACTGTGTTGAGCAGCATCTCTTCATATGTTTAAAAGCTCTTGAATTTCTTTTCCTTTTTTTTGTTTTCAGGCGAGGCAACCCTTGGTTTACCTCACAGATTGCAAGAACCTTGTCAGCTTACAATCTCTTATTTTTTTATGCCTACAGCACCTGGTCTTCCTAGGTGGTCCCCCATCCAAGTACTAACCTGGCCCAACCCTGCTTAGCTTCCAAGATCAGATGGGATCAGGCACGTTCAGGGTGGCATGGCCGTAGACATTAAATTTCTTTTTCTGTATTCTTTATCTCCTTTTTCAATTTTTCTAGTAGATGTTGGTCATTTTCTTCTTGATATCCATGACTTCATTTAAACATTAGTGAAATTAACCCTATTTAATAGGTTTTTTTTCTTACTAGTTTGTCCGTCTGCTGTCTTTGGACAGATGTTTTTTACTACACAGAATTTTTTTTCTTTTTCGTATAGATGCATTGATACATTTATTAATCTTTTAGAGTTTAGAAATTTTGATTCACAGTTAATCATTCTTTTCATAGAACTTTTGTGCTTTATTTTGATATTGAAATCCTTGATCTTTTCTATCCTTTTGTAAGGTGTAAGGTATAGACTCAACTTTTTCCTTTTTTTAATTAAAAAAAGATTAATTACAGTTGACATTCAATATTAGTTTCAGGTGTACAGCATAGTGGTTAGACATTTACCTTCTAGATTCCTTCATCTGGAAAGTAAGATGATAATACAACCTACCTTATACAATTGTTTTAAGATGAATTTATCCTCTTACGCTCTTAAAACAGGCTGGCATATAGTAAACTTTCAAATGGTAGCTTTTTATTATTGATATTTTCTTCAATAAGCATTTATTGAGCACTAAGTACCAGGTACTGTGTTAGGCTCTGGGTTGACAATAACTCAAAATGGACATAATCCTCGTCTTCATAGAGCTTATGGGGCAATAAATATTAATGAAAAATCACTAACAAATCACATGGGAAGAGTGTGTGATATGGGTATGAATTAGATTAGTGAGAGGTGGGGTGAAGAACATTCCATATGAGGTGAATAGCAATGTATAAAGGTGTGGTGGGAAGAAGCTTGGTGAGTTCATGGGACTGTAAAAATCTGGAATGCCCCAGAGTAAAAAGAATGAAGAGGGGGAACACACTGCCAGATGGTAATTACTTTCAATGTCATGGTTGGTAGATTGCTAGTTTTAACCCGGTGTCTTCCCTCTTTCTTAGTGATAAAATGTTTGATTTTAGCAGAGTACGTGGCTGTCAGAATACAGAATATATTTCCTAGCTTCTCCTTTAGCTAAAGTGTCTATATGATTAAATTTTAGTGAGAGAGGTATCTGAAACTTCTGGAAGTATCTTTATAGAGAGGGTTGTGCCCTTCTTTGCTCCTTCCTTTTTCCTTATGTTTGGGGTGGAATGTGACAGCTGAAGCTCGAGCAACCATCTTGGACCATGGGGCAGTGCACTAAGAAAATGGAGCGGTAAGATAGAAGGATTTCCGCTGATGGTGGGGCTTCTGAATTGCCTCTGAAGTTTTGTTGAGAAGGAAATAAGATATCCTGTTTAAGCCATTTGGGAGGTGTCTTTTATACCATTTGTGGCCATAGCCAATCTTAGCTAATAACTTGGTAAGGAGTTTTGTCATTATCTTAAGCAGGGGTGACATGGTTGAGTCTGCATTTAAAAATGATCAGTTTGGCTCCTGTGTAGAGAATGGTTTTGAGAGAGGCAAGAATGGAGTGGAGAGACCAGTTTGGAAGCTGTTTTATAAATCTAGAGCATGGAGGACTAGGGTAATTGTAACAGGTGGGGATAGATGGATGGGTTTGAGAAATAATTAGGAAGCAAATCAGTGGGGCTTAGTGATGGGTTGGATGTAGGATGGTGGGGGAGAGTTTGCTATCATAGACAACCTCCTGGCTTTCTGGCTTGTATAAATGGGTTGATGATAGTGCTATTGACTAAGGTAGGGGTTACTAGGAGATTGAGTAACCCCTATTATCAATAAACATCCATGAATTTGGTGTGGAGATATCAAAGAGAATGTTGCATACGTAGGTCTGAGCTCAGAGGAGAGGGCTAGGCTGGAGTTCAAACTGAAGTTGTTTACATGTAGGTGGTATGGAGCTGTGGGCATGGATGAAAGGTCACAGGGAGAGACTGTAGCCTAAGAAGGCAGCGACCTGGCACACACCCTCAAGAATACCTGATATCTTCTGTCTGGGTAGAGGAGAAGGAGCTTAAAAAGGAGAGGGGAAAAACGTGGCTAGAGGGGTAGGAAGAAAACCGGGAGAGGGGAGAGTGTGTGTTCAAAGGAGTAGCGGGGGAGGGAGAGGGAGGGGGAGAGGGGGAGGGAGAGAGTGTGTGTGTGTGTGTGTGTGTTTTCAGGAGGATCGAATGCAGTTGAGAAGCAAGGTAAGGACTGAACCTGCGCATTGCATTTAATAGTAGGGACATTCTCCATAATCTTGCTTTTGGTGGTGTGATAAGTCCAGACAAAGGGCATTATTTCCTTATGTTAAACAGGGTTTGTGTATGGATACAAAAGGAAGTCAGGGCAGAAGGGATGCAGTGCAGAGAGAGGTCAGCAGCATTTCCCAGGACTCATGGAAGCATCAGCACCCAGGTCCCAAATCCTCACCAGGGATGTTCATTTCTTCATTCCTTGATCTTTTCCCGCCCTCTCCTATTTATGTGTAGGTGATTCTGCTTTTAGCCCTTTCCTCTCCACCCATTCCCAGTACTGCTCTCATGGTTTTAACTATCCATATGCCACTGTCCCCAAGTCTGTTTCTTACCCAGCCTTTCTCCTGAGGCCTGAGATGTCTTGCCTATTGGTCATTTCCCTAGGTGCCCAAAGACTTGACAAAGGCAAAACCAAGTTTAGTTCTTTTCTCCATCCAGTGTCCACAAGCTTCTTTGGTATTCTCCAGGTTGACAGGTCCCACTGTCACCCAAAAAAGCAATCTGGGAATCATTCTTGGTATCTTCTATTCTCTGACCAATCCTATTCTGGCCTGTGACTACCTTGAGAATCCACTTTTTTCCTCTTCATACCCCTGCTACTTCCTTGCAGCTGCCATAGTTTATGCACCAGCTACTCTCCCCAGCATCCCTGCAGTAGTTTCCTGCCTGGTCTCCTTATCTCTGAAATTGTACTCTCTCCTCTGTTCTCCCATCCACCCATCCACACAGCTTCCAGTGTGATCTTTCTAAAATGCAAGTCTCATCTCGTGAGAGTGAGATAACACCTTTTAAGGGCTCCTCACTGTCTGTATGCATGGCATAGGCAGCCTCTGTGCCAGTTTGGATCTTGGGTAAGTAGATACAGAGGCTGACTAAGAAACGGTGGTTTATTAGTAATACCTTTGAAACTTAGAAGAGTCATGATTGGGCAGAGATGGCCTCAGACCGTGCTGTGTAAACTCTCACAGTTCTGACCAGCCCCCTGGGGAGCTCTAGCGAAAAGATGACCTGTTGAAGAGTCCTGTATTCAGCAGAAATGACCAGGTCCTAGTACTCTCAATGCTTAGGTATTGGCTGGGAGCC